TACTATCACATGAGAAAGCAATTACAAACTCTCGGAGTGTTCCATTAAGGCAACCTTTCTGAATGTAAGTATATTTATCATGTATGATCCTCCCGCATGTTAGTGTCCAACTGGCTTCGGCATTTGAGCAAGGCTAACAAGCACCAATAGGCTAACAAGAACAGAACTATCTTCAAACTTTGTCCTGATGATGATTGTACCACCATAAAGAAATAATTGTGTGCACGAGACTGACTGGAAGGTCCATAGTAATGTTAAAAGTGCATGATTCACAATATCTGCTGCAAAGTTTAAGCAACAGTTATTTTCGACAAGAAAAACTAGTGTGAAGATGGACATTAACTGATAAAATTCTAGCCAGTACTATCGGCGGATGCTAGTGCAGAAGTAACACAGCATGTCAGCACAATTGTTGCTCCGTCCGCAAACTACAAAAAATGCAAATTATGAATAGTTGTAGTGGTACTCTTACGAACTAAATCCTTTACTTAAGTCATGGAATCAGCAAAACAAAAATGCCTATAGAGTACAAGAAGCGAACAAGCAAAGCTACAGCCGTCACCAAGGCTGACGCACAATTTTTGGGTAGCCAGCATTACAGCAAACATATTGCATACACTCGGAAAACAAGCGAAGCTACATCAATCTGTGAGGCCGAGGCACTCGTTTCAAGCCCCCAGCGACAGCAAACATGTCACCCGCACGCAGCAAAGCAAAGCTGCAGTAATTCCAGAGAAACTGACCTGGATCTCGCGCTTGATGTGTTCGAAATCGTCGAATCGGCGGCCGGGGGCGTGGAGGAACTCGCCCCACTCCTCGGGGGCCGAGTGGCGCACGAGCTGGAGCACGAGGGGGCGGCGCGTGCAGATTTCGGGGCCCCTCGGGAGGAAGTCGCGGCCGACGAGCGCCTCCAGCACACTCGACTTGCCGCTGCTCTGCCCGCCGATCGCCGCCACCTGTGGCAGCTCCACGCCGGCGGCGGCTTCACCATCCAGCCGCGCCATGATGTCTTGCAGCCTATTGACGAGCGGGATCACGGCTTGCCCCACTGTCGCCGGTTGCGCCGCCGCCGCAGCAGCAGCCGCTGCCGAGTCAGCCATCGCCGCCGACAGTGTTGGGTTTTGGGAGACTAGAGGGTACGCTTTGGGGCTCTTTTCCTTCTTTTTCTTCGCTGGGGTTTTGTGTGGATGTGCGTATTGTGTGAGGTACCTGCAGCATCAAAACAGAACGAAAATTGACAAAATGGAAATGAAAACGAAAGTTTACAAAGTTTCCCATACAAGCGAAAACAAAACAACATTTTTTCGATGGAATTTATGGAGAAAAGGAGTTTCCATCTGTATATGTATAAGAAAACTCTTCTAATCACCCGGCGGATCACGTCGTTTCGTCCGTGCCAGGCCCAAGTGGTTTTGTCGATCTATTTGGAAAATTGTATGAAGGAAATCATGATCTAGCTCGGATCTGAGATGTATTGTTGCTATAAGAGGAGTTGTATTGTCTAGGGTTCTAACCCATAGTTGGCAATTGGGGAAATCAACATGAACTTTCGGGCCACAGTCCGGCTGGTTATAAGCAGAGTAATGACAACTAGTGGTAAAGAAAGTGAAACGCTATAGTGGCAACGGTGACATCGGAAGGTGGAGACGCGTTGTAGACGCAGGAGCCATCGTCGTCGTCCGTTGTTGCTGAAGCGATATTGTCTGAAACACTGCACCTTTTTTAGTGAAGACTGAAAGTGTTAACTGAACCACCAACAGTCAGTCATGACATTGCCTCCTTGTAAGATTCGACGTGTCCTTATGGCGCTTGTGCTGCATTACACCAAGCTTGGGTTGTCACTTTCAAAAACTCCGGAAAAGTATACTTAATAAAATCGGCATCCTCCCAGGTGGCCTCATCAGAAGATAAATTTCGTCATTGTATCAACTATTGTGTCACCGGCATGTTATGCCTAGAAACTTGTCTGACCTGAAGAACCTTTATTGGGCAGTACCATGGACTAGGTATGGATTTTGAACCAATATGCTTTTTCAACTGACTAACATGGGAACTGGATGAATTTTCACATGCTCAGGAAACTGAAGTTTGTAAGCAGGCTTGCCAATCTTATGTACAATGAGAAATGGTCCATAATACTTATGTTGCAATTTTAAGGCGCCTCTGAAACCATAAACTGCTAGTCTGTAGGGAGACATTTTGAGGTATACCATATCTCCCACCTCAAAAACTCTCTATACTCTTTTAAGATTTGTATAATTTTTCATTCTGTTCTGGACTTGCAGTAAGTTGGTTTTTAGTTGCTCCAGCATCTGTTGCTTAGCAGACAGAAAGTTGTGAGCTTCTTTCACCTAGGGTCCAGGTATGGCTAGTTCAAAAATTATTGGAGGGGAAAAGCCATAAATAGCTTGAAAGGGCAACATTTTGATAGCAGTGTGGTATGTAGTATTATACCAATATTCAGCTAGAGATATCCAAGAGCACCACTTTAGGTTTTGTACTTGCCATGCATCTCAGATAAGTCTCAACACATTGATTAACTCATTATGTTTGGCCATCAGATTGAGGGTGGTATGATGTATTGTACATTAACTCATTTTTCCAAGCAAAAAAATTATCCTTCCACAATTTGCTGGTAAATATTATGTCTCTGCATGATATGATCAGTTTGGGTGGTCCATGTAACCTGGCTATATGTAACACCCCGGATGTAACTTTCCCAATTTGTAATCCAACTCTTGCCGTTTCCGGCGTTAAGTTATATTTATTTCTCGGGTTCGAGTCTTTGTCTCCGTGTGTTGTTTTCGTTTTCATGCATCTCATATCATGTCATCATGTGCATTACTTTTGCATACGTGTTCATCTCATGTATTCGAGCATTTTCCCCGTTGTCTATTTTGCATTCCGGCGCTTCGTTCTCCTCCGGTGGCATTTCTAACTTTCTTTCGTGTATGGGGATTAAACGTTTCCGGATTGGACCGAGACTTGCCAAGCGGCCTTGGTTTACTACCGGTAGACCACCTGTCAAGTTTCGTATCATTTGGACTTCGTTTGATACTCCGACGGTTAACCGAGGGACCGAAAAGGCCTCGTGTGTGTTGCAGCCCAACACCCTTCCAATTTGGCCCAAAACCCACCAAACTCTGCTCCATCATCTAGAGCGTTCGATCACGATCGCGTGGCCGAAAACCGCACCTTATTTGGACTCCCCTAGCTCCACTTATGCCTATAAATAGCCCCCCCGTTTTTCGGATCTCTCCTCCCCCACGAAACCCTAAAAATTCCCTCGCGCCGGCCGGACGTGTCCGACCCGGCCGGACAACTCGCGCCGCCGCCGCCGACCAATCCAGCGCCGCCATGTGTCGCCCTCCGCCGCCAACAGCCGCTGGCCCGCGGAGCCCAAGTCGGGCCCCCACGCGGCCCGATCCGCCCGCCGCCTCCTACCTCGTCCGCCGCCGCCCTCTCCAGCGCCGGTGGCCGGCGCAGCCACGGGTCACTACCGCGCCCTCCTCCTCCCGAGCCGCACGCGAGCTCGTCGCCGGCGCCCTCCGCCGCCGCCAGCCCGCGGCTGCCGCCTCGCCGCCGGCGGGTCCCCCGGCGCCGGATCCGCCCGACCCGGGCCTCCCCCGACTTCCCCGGCGCCGCTCCGGCGAGAGCTCCGGCCGCCGCGCCCTTTTTTTTCCGGTGAACCTCGAGCAGCTACAGTGCAGCGTTGCGCCTCGGTTTCCGTGCGAAACTCTAGATCTGATCTGAGAGGTTGATTTTTTTAGTCCCAGAATTCCTGATCCAAGTTGCTCTGTTCGAGGCCCCGTAACTTTGCATCTGTAGCTCCGATTCATGCATATAGCATATCAAAATGTTCATCTCAGAGAGTACATCACTTCATTCCATTGCATCATTTTCGTTCGAGCTCATCTTGATGCCCAAAATGCTGTTAGAAGGAGGCTTCGTGAGTTAATTGTTAGATCTGCTAGTTCATCTTAGACTTTTGTCATTTTTGCCATGATTATTGTGTGCATGATATGCCTGTGAGTCCTTCATATGTTTTGTTAAGCATTTTGTCTTCTTTCCAGAGGTGCAACCCATGCATTTTTAGGATATATGCGGTGACTTGTGCAAGCTTGCAAAATGAGGCACCCGGTAAATCTGTTTTCAGGGACTTAGTAGTTTTCACTAAGTCTGGGATTATTTAGTTCATGATGCCATATGTTTAGCTTGTTTCCTAGTGATCCGTATCTCTTTTGAGGATGGTCAGTAAAGGAGTTTTGTTAATAATGTTATGCTCTATCCATCCATGTCTTTGTTTGCAATTATGGAGCACCCTAGCTTGAGTCAATCGAGCTCTACTTTTGCTTCGTGGTGAATCTGGGCAGATCGTCAACTCGTTTGCGATTTTGCCGATGTTATTGTAGTTGATCCGTGCATGCTATGCCATTGTTCTTGCCATGTCTAGCTTGTATTTTGTGCCTTCTTAATGTATGTATGCCTGCCTTGCCATGACTTGCACCGTGGTGAGTGCATTGAGCTCGTTTACATGCCTTCGTGAGTTATATTTCAGCATGTCTCAGTTTTCACTAAGTCTGAAAACTGATTGTGTTTTAGCTATGTTCGTGTGCTTGTTAGTATATTTTGTGACCCCTTTTGGCCCCAGGTCACTTTGGGTCTTTTGTTAAGCTTGTTGAGTAGCTCCATGCCATGTTCTTACTTGTCTTAATCAGGTCATGTTTCATGTTGTTTTGCTGCTCCGAAGAGGGCTTCGTGATCTGAAATTTCAGACAAATGTTAATTTCACTAAGTCTGGAATCTGTTTTGCATTTGCATTTTTGCCATGCTTGTTAGAACCTCGTATTGGATGAATTGGCCGTGGCTCAGTGCTAGTCTTTTGTTAAGCATCTTGTGTGCATCCCTGCCATGTATTTTTTTGTCTTGTTTGGTTGCTATAGCATGTTCATTTCATTGCATTTAGATGCCTACTTGCTGTAAATCGCAGACCGGTGTCATTTTGAAACGCTTGCCATTTCCAAACCGTAACTCCGATTCCGGTGTTCTTTATATCGTTTTCAAGCGATTTCTTCTCATCTTTCTAGTGGCACACTTGGAATTCCAAGTTGAGGCCAGGTTCATGCATTTTCCTGTCATATCTTGCATTTTACATCCCGCATCGCATCCCGCATAGCATATCATCATTTCATCATATTGGTTGAGTTTGCACGTGGTTGATTGTATCCTTGTTGCTTGTTTGTCTTGTTGGGTAGAGCCGGGAGACGAGTTCGCTAACAAGGAGACCGTTGAGTTTGCTTTTGAGGATCCAGTCAACTCTGACAACTGTGCAGGCAAGATGATCATACCCTCGAAATCACTACTATCTTTGCTATGCTAGTTTGCTCGCTCTTGCTATGCCAATGTTACGATGCCTACCTTTTGCTTGTCAGCCTCCCAATTGCCATGTCAAACCTCTAACCCACCTTGTCCTAGCAAACCATTGATTGGCTATGTTACCGCTTTGCTCAGCCCCTCTTATAGCGTTGCTAGTTGAAGGTGAAGTTTGGAGCCGTTCCTTGTTGGAATATTTACTTACTTGTTGGGATATCATTATATTGCTATGTTATTTTAATGCATCTATATACTTGGCGAAGGGTGGAAGGCACGGCCTCTCGCCTAGTGTTTTGTTCCACTCTTGTCGCCCTAGTTTCCGTCATATCGGTGTTATGTTCCCGGATTTTGCGTTCCTTACGCGGGTTGGGTTATAACGGGAACCCCTTGATATTTCGCCTTGATTAAAGCTTTTCCAGCAATGCCCAACATTGGTTTTATCATTCGCCACCTAGCCTTTCTTTCCCTTGGGTTCTGCAGACTCAAGGGTCATCTAATTTTAACCCCCCCCGGGCCAGTGCTCCTCTGAGTGTTGGTCCAACCGAGCGATGTCCGGGGCTACCAGGGGCAACTCTGGGCTGGCATACCCGACGTCTTGCTCATCTGAGTGTGCCCTGAGAAAGAGATATGTGCAGCTCCTATCGGGATTTTGTCGGCGCATTCGGGCGGTGTTGCTGGTCTTGTTTTAGCCTGTCGGAGTGTCTTGAGTTACCGAGATACCGAGTCTGATCGGAACGTCTTGGGAGGAGGTCTATTCCTTCGTTGACCGTGAGAGCTTGTCATGGGCTAAGTTGGGACTCCCTTGCAGGGATTGAACTTTCGAAAGCCGTGCTTGCGGTTATGGGCAGATGGGAATTTGTTAATGTCCGGTTGTAGATAACTTGAACCTTAATTAATTAAAATGAATCAACTGAGTGTGTTACCATGATGGCCTCTTCTCGGCGGAGTCCGGGAAGTGGACACAGTGTTGGAGTAATGTTTGCGCAGGTTGTTCCTCTAGTTTTTCACGCTCGCGCTTTGCCTCCTCTTCTCGCTCTCTTTTGCGAATATGATAGCCACCATATATGCTAGTCGCTTGCTGCAGCTCCACATATATTGCCTTACCCTTCCTATAAGCTTAAATAGTCTTGATCGCAAGGGTGCGAGATTGCTGAGTCCCTGTGGCTCATAGATACTATAACTCCAGATGCAGGTCCAGGTGATTCCGCTCCAGGTGACGAGTACGAGCTCAAGTGGGAGTTTGATGAAGACTCTCAGCGATACTACGTGTCTTTTCCTGACGATCAGTAGTGGTGCCTAGTTGGGGTTTGATTGGGACCTTGTCGCATGTTGGGTTTTTCTTCTATTTTGGCGCCGTAGTCGGGCCATGAGTGTTTGTATGATGGATGTTATTTATGTACTTTGATGTGACGTGGCGAGTGTAAGCCAACTATGTACCTCCCCCTTTTATTATATATTGCATGGGATGTTGTGATGATTGCCTAACTTGCGACATTGCTTTCAATGCGGTTATGTCTCTAAGTCGTGCCTCGACACGTGGGAGCTATAGCCGCATCGAGGGCGTGACAAGTTGGTATTGGAGCCTTCCCCGACCTTAGGAGCCCCATTGCTTGATCGTTTTTAGCAGCCGAGTTGTGTCTAGAAAAATGTTTTGAGTCATTTAGGAATTATATATCGGAG